ATATATATTCCGATTCGAGCATAAGAGTTTTTCACAAGGTACATACACAGCAACCTGTAAAATTAAATGTATGACCCTGCCTTGACCGATATTATTGAAAATGTTCCAGAGTATGATAAAGATCATTGATTTTTCAACAGGACGGTGCTCCTCCGCATTATGCGTTAATTGTCCGTCAATATTTGGACCAACATTTTATACGAAATTGGATTGGGAGAGGCAGCATTGAGTGGCCTACACGATCACCGGATTTATCGCCCCTTTATTTCTTTTTGTGGGGATACCTAAAAAGTAAAATTTATAAAACACAGCCGGCGTCGCTGGAAGATTTGCGTCAAAGAATAGTCGACGAATGCCGTCGAATTACTCCGGAAATGCTTCGGAATGTGCGCGAACGTTTCGAACAAAATCTTTATTCTTGTATAGAAGTGGGCGTTCATCAGTTTGAAGATTTAATCAACTAAGTAGTAAGTAAGCAACTAAACATAATTTAAATTTTAAAATTTAAATTTTTTTCCAAAATATTGGCCGGAATTATAAAGTTAAAAGTCTGTTATAAAGAGAATTGTAAGAGCTTTCAAAAGAAATATTACTCAACCCCCAATGCCATTTAAATATTTTGGGGTGATGCTTGGGGGGTGAAAGTGGCGGAGTCAAAAATACCAGCAAAGAATGTCCCCCTTTAATCTAAAATCGACGAGTCTGAGCGTTTTTCTACAATCTTGACGCAGTTTCTGAAAATTGCTCTATTTCGTTTTCATTTGGCCATCATGTATATTTAGAAATATTCTATAACCTTATATAATCTTATAGTAAATTAGAAACATCTTTTAATAGTTACCCAAGTAACATATATAAAATTCAGCTTTTATATTACAACGTACGTAGAATTACAATTTATTAAAGTGTAAAGGTGTCCGCCGCGCGACGGGGGTTGCCATGATACTACAATTTTCTACAAATTACTACTCTCTCATGTTATTTGAAAAAAGCCTGATTTTCGAGTAAAACTTAAAAAACGAACTGAAAACACATTTACTTAAATAACATGCAAACACTAATCATTCGGTTATTTTATCGAATAAAGAAATTAATAACATTAGTCATGATTTTAATGATTTTATTTGAGTAAATGCTCAAAAATACTCCATTTTCACGAACACAGGCGCGACATCTTTTTAATTAACGAAAATGTAATTTGTTCGAAATTTATTGCTGCTTGAATATGATGAAAAGCAATATTTATTCTTTTTTCGAACAGCTCAGATTTTTAAAGTTGTTATTGCAGCCTACTATGTAATTTTAAACCGAATTTTATTCGAATATCGAAGTGTTTCAAGTTCGATTTTTAAGTTTTACTCGAAAATCAGACTTTTTTCGAAAAACATAAGAGTAGTAATTAGTAGAAAATTGAAAATTGAATTCGAAAATATTATGATTGATAGCCGTAAAGCAATGGCGTACTATTTAATTTAGAAAAATGTGCTACCGGTACCCTGTATCTCCGGCAATGGAGCATCTAAATTTTCGGAAAAAGACTCATATTTTGTACAATGTTTACATAAATATATGTGCCCAATTTCAAATTATTTCAGTTACTAGTTTTTAAATTATTTTAAAAAATTTTAAATATTTTTTTAAATTTAACACCCTGTATCTTTTTAACAAAGCATCCTAAATAAAAATTCCCCTTAAAATTCACCAAAGAATGGTTTCATTTTTGGTCACCGTTTGTGAATCACCCTGTGTAGATGTGAGTATATCTAAATCAGAAATATCTCTGTTTGCGTTATACAACATGTTAAAAATCACGATCCATTATTGGAACAATCTCAGAAACACAATAAAAATAGGTTACTTGCTTTCTGGAGAAACGCTGGAGATGCTACTGGCAATCTCCGGCGATTCTCCGGCGCTTCGCCATAAGTTTCACTAATGCGCATGCTTGACTTAGCTGGCGAACGACTGTGCATTGAAAATCTCGTCCAGCGAACGGCGAATCTCTGGCGAGTCGCTGGCTATCGACTATGCATACGGGCATAAGTGTCTGGCAATGGATGACGTGTTTCTAATATTATCTCGAAGAAAATATTTAAAAAAAGACTATATACTTTCACGATTTTGGGTAGCAATTTTATACACCTTTACTACCTGTTATCTGTCAAAGCCTCGATGATCCAAATTTCAGTCGCCGATCGTTCCTACGTCTGTTGGGGACATGAGCAGAGAAAGCTACTATGAGGAAGGTCTAGCGATCATGAGCTCTTGTTCTACGAGTATAGTAAGTCTAAAAACGTTCACTTTACTTCGAGACTTCCCGCATGCGCATTGCTTTAAATTAGGTTCCGTCTCGTCGACCAGACGGCAGACGACCGAGAGGCAAGCTGTGTTCTCAATCGCACTAAAGGACGTCACAATCCCTTCTTGATCAAGTGACAAAGTTTAAATTTTTACATAATTCTATACATCTATAAGTAATCAATAATTTTACCACGGTTAGTTGTTGTTGGTTATAGATTACAAATTTATGCGGTTCAAAAAGATATTCAATTTTCATGCAAGTTGTCTATTATATTATTACATATCATTCTGTATTACAAGTCAAATGTAAATATTATTTAAATTTTTATTTTATAAGATGAGGTATTACTCATCAGATAATTAAAGCAAAAATTATATTCATTACTCATTTCACGAATACATTTGAAAATATTTTTAATAAAACATAAAAATATTAATTAAACTTTAAAAGCAAGTTTAAGTACGTATTTAGAAAACGTTTATAAAAAAATGTATCAAATCTATCTATTAATATTTTTAAAATATTAATTCTGTAGCCCCAAAAAAGTGTTGTAAGAATATTTACGAAATATTTAAAACTGTTTTGAGAATATTAAACGACTTCTCTGAATAGTAGGAGTATAAGTATTAACTTCTACATTATATTTTATATAGAACAATATAAAGAAAGACCGACTAGGTCGATTCAGTTAAAGCGTTTTATGATCCCTAACATCCCTAACATCAGCGCCTTTTACATCTTCAATTTTTTTAAACAGCAAGAAGTATCCAGTATGAAGTTTGAGATATGTGCAAATATTTCTATACAGTGATTTGTATATTTTCGCATTTTTCAGAAATTATTCAGGCTCAAAAAAACTGGAATATTCTCGAACTTTTGACGTGAACATTTCTCACGTTTCTCCTTCTTCCAATCAGGGCAATGCAACCATCTGAGTTAGTCTAATTTCAATCATACTTTTTACGGAAATCTTTTTTAGGAAAGGATGGTGATAGACAAAATATTACTGTCGATTATCTGGACAATCTTTGTCAAGACTTTGATAATTCACAATTCTTAGCTCTCTCGGACGAAACAATATAACGTTAGGTTGGAATCTTGGTACTTTATTTTTATTAACGATTGTTTCTCTTTAAGTTTAGATAAAGATTTAAGTTCCACTCTGTTATTATACATTTTTTTAATTTAATATGAAATATCCTTTTGTTTAAATTTACTGTTTTACTTTGATAATAATTTTGTGTGGCACTCATTACCCTATACTGTCTATGCACTATACTACATACATATTATATAATAAATATTATGATTTAAATGATGGATATATAAACTTGGCACTGTAGATATTATTAATCTGATAGAGGTATTCAGTTTAAAAATCGTTAAAGTAAAATATTATTTTTAACTACTGTAAAATAGCCTACCTACTCACTAAATAAAATGAATAATTAGATTATATGGATATATTTACATTTTATAAAATTATTCTGTACTCACTTTGTATGCATTCTCGTCTTGAATAACTCCAATCACACCCAGGTATCTGATGACACTGAATGCAGTCAGAAGCTGCACATTTCCTATATAAACATTTGGACATAGGTGTACTGCCACAACTGGAATTATTGCTGATGCACTCTCCTTGGCACCACGTACAAGAATTACTTTTAATACAAGTAGAACAATCTTGAATTATGGAACAATTACTAAATGACATTGTAAATAAGCTGCATACTTTCCCTTGATTAGTAATTCGGGAACCTAAAATGGAAATTATTCTTCATAATAATAATAATTAATAATAATGATAATGATAATGATAATGATAGTGATAATGATAAATATAACGATAAGGATAAAGATAATGATAATGATAAAGATGACGATGAGGAGGAGGAGGAGGAGAAGGAGGAGGATGACGATGACGATGACGATGAGGATGACGAGGACCAGGACGAGGATGAGGACGATGACGATGAGGATGTCGATGACGATGAGGATGACGATGACCATGACAATGACTATGATGATGACGGTGAGGATGACGGTGAGGATGACGGTGAGGATGATGGTGAGGATGACGGTGAGGATGATGGTGAGGACGAGGATGAGGACGAGGACTAGGACGAGGACGAGGAGGACGATGACGATGAGGATGACGATGAGGATGACGATGAGGATGACTATGAGGATGACGATGAGGATGACTATGAGGATGACGATGAGGATGAAGATGACAACGACGATGGCAACGACGATGACGATGATAAGGATAACGATGACGATGACAATAACGATGACGATGACGATGAGGATGACAATGAAGATGACGATGAGGATGAGGATGACGATGAGGATGACGATGAAGATGACGATGAGGATGACGATGAGGATGACGATGATGATGACGATGATGATGACGATGATGATGACGGCGATGATGATGATGATCATAATAATAATAGCAGCTTGATTGTTCAACAGTTACCCATTTAAGGAGCAAGTATACTCAATTATTAAAAGCAATAAATACAAACAAAATATATTAAATAGTTAAACATTTTGACAAAAAATGCAAAAATAAAAAGAAATAATCGACATGTCATCAGAAGATACATTCCTGATCTAATCATTAGCAGCAACCAATATTTGTTCAAAATTATCAAAATATCACATGAGTGGCACAATATATTAAAGTTATAGCATATAAAGGTGATTTCAAACAAACATTTGTTCTTGGAATGTTAAAAAAAAGGTTTTCGTATGTCTTGAGTGTTCTGGGTATCTTAAACTAAATCTGAGGCAGAACAATGGAACAATCAATGTTGTTGTGTAACATTTTGTATAAAAAAGACAGTGAAGAACATTTTCTTCTTAGATCCGGACTTGTAACAGTAAATCTTGTCAGCAACGTATTATATTGTGTATCTAATTCAGGATCAGTTCCAACTTCTTTGCAGTACAAACATTTTTAAAAACTTTCTCCGTACATTTTCAATACAGATTTTGTAGTGGATTCCAAATATATTCCATATTCTAATTTAGATCTAATAAACGAATAGTATAATGTTTTAATGTTGNCACACATGCATGTTTTTACATTTCAAATCTAATCTCCAGCTGTAATCCATATTATTTCTGCTATCTATTGAATTTTACATTAACTTATAGTAAATGCATATAAGCGTATAGCATATATATAAGCATACTCACGTGCTTATTATCCACCTTAAAACTCAATGGACCGTTAACAAATGGATATATTAATTACACACCCCATATTATACAACCCTTACAATAAGATCATACTTAAGTGAGCGGCCTACTTGTTTATATTTTTGTAAACTATTGTTACATATTCCGTAAATATTTTACACATCTTTATATATTTAATGATAACGTCTTTGAAAAGTAACTTCTCAATTTATAAGATAAACTAGTAATACTAAAAGTACTGAAATGGCACATTAGATTTTTAGTACCAGCAGTTTTATATGTAATTATCAAACATAACAAATATATTGACAAATGTGCACCAGCGTATATAGTAGATATAGCAAATTCAATATGTCTTATTTTGGAGGTTTAGGTAAATCTATTACATTTAATACGATCGAAAGGTCCGACGACTTTTAGTTAATCAAAACTTAAATACTTACAAAAGTGTTGCCATAAATCATCTTTTTTATATAATTCAGTTTGTCCTAGAAATATCACCATACTCACTGTTATAAATATAAGAGACTTTGACGCAAAAGCCTGTATTAATGAATATTGTTATTTAATAAATATACATCTGTATTATTTATCAAAAACAATTGAAAGGTATGGTTTTTCATCAATAACATATTTGTATAGACTGCATAAAAATAACCAATATAAAAAGATTCAGGCTAAAATTGGTTTTATATCATAAATGATATAAAGCCTATTTAATGACATGTCATTCTTTCGAAAGTACATTACAATTAGTACAATTTTAAGCTCTTTTCTATATTTTTGTATAAATTATATCGTGGCTTTAANACGACGATGGCAACGACGATGACGATGATAAGGATAACGATGACGATGACAATAACGATGACGATGACGATGAGGATGACAATGAAGATGACGATGAGGATGAGGATGACGATGAGGATGACGATGAAGATGACGATGAGGATGACGATGAGGATGACGATGATGATGACGATGATGATGACGATGATGATGACGGCGATGATGATGATGATCATAATAATAATAGCAGCTTGATTGTTCAACAGTTACCCATTTAAGGAGCAAGTATACTCAATTATTAAAAGCAATAAATACAAACAAAATATATTAAATAGTTAAACATTTTGACAAAAAATGCAAAAATAAAAAGAAATAATCGACATGTCATCAGAAGATACATTCCTGATCTAATCATTAGCAGCAACCAATATTTGTTCAAAATTATCAAAATATCACATGAGTGGCACAATATATTAAAGTTATAGCATATAAAGGTGATTTCAAACAAACATTTGTTCTTGGAATGTTAAAAAAAAGGTTTTCGTATGTCTTGAGTGTTCTGGGTATCTTAAACTAAATCTGAGGCAGAACAATGGAACAATCAATGTTGTTGTGTAACATTTTGTATAAAAAAGACAGTGAAGAACATTTTCTTCTTAGATCCGGACTTGTAACAGTAAATCTTGTCAGCAACGTATTATATTGTGTATCTAATTCAGGATCAGTTCCAACTTCTTTGCAGTACAAACATTTTTAAAAACTTTCTCCGTACATTTTCAATACAGATTTTGTAGTGGATTCCAAATATATTCCATATTCTAATTTAGATCTAATAAACGAATAGTATAATGTTTTAATGTTGCTAAAGTTCCTAAAGTTTTTTAAATGAAACCATACGTTTTGCTGCCTCATTTATTTTACTGAATCTGTTCCCAAAAAGGTAAACGTAATCAAAAAGTGCAGAAAAATAACTTATTTAAAAAATAATAGGTAGTCTTCTGCAAATTGACGTAAAGATTTTTATTTCTTCAGCAAATAACAACTTATTACAATCAACAACTTGACAAATGTCGTTAATAAGAATTAGAAATAACAAGGTTTGAACCCTAAGAGACTCCTGAAGCTGCAAAGTAACTGGGTAATACAAATTCATTATATAGAGTCTTTATATATGTTTACAAGCCACGTGACCAGTAATATTGTTTGGAACAGTAACTTCTGTAAAATAAAGAATTATTAAAATAGTAAGATCAAGATTACATTAAAACACAACGTTTTATTTCACCGGCTGTGATTGGTATATTTCTTCATTCAACCAATCAGCGATCGCATTATCTCGAGCAGAGACGTAACGGTTTGTCATTATAAACGAGTCATCAATATTGGTGACGCAAAGATCTAGGGAATTTTCGTTACCATTACCAACAGTGCAATCTTGGGTTGCGATCACGTACCTTGTAAACATTTACGAAGGCCGTGTATGAAACAAATTGGACTCGATTATTTAAATACGATTTAAATAGAGATACAGCGTTGCTTTTAAAGCCAGCCAAATTCGATAAGTTTCTTCAAAAGGATTTGGTGATCGAGTCTGTCAAATGCCTTTGCAAAATCTGTATAAATAATGTCCACATCGCCGCCTTTATCTAAGATATAAAAGACAAATAATTGAGTAACAGTAAATCTGTACACCATAATACCATGCCTTCTATTACTAATTGACCCCTAATAATATTGTGTACCTACCGGCAGATTTTTTTAACCTGAAACTCTCAAATATCTCGAGAAAAAACATGCACGCTACGAAAATAAAATAATCAAAATTTAATCACTCGATCCACGGAGGAAATATATTAGTGCTAAAATTGGTCCCAGGCCATAGCCATTCTAAGAGTTTATGGAATATCCTTTGATGGAAAGAGCAAATGAGTTGCTGAGCTTGAATAAAATTCGGCTCAGGAGAGTGACGGGACTTATAATAGGACGCCGTCACTTTAGAAGACCGAGGTCGTCCTTTGGATGCGTTTTCGTCCGAACTGGATTTGTCAGAAATCGGATACGATAACTATTTTCCAAAAGATACCTAATCATCCATATTATTAATTATAATGTGCTGATTTGATAAGTCAGTATGTACGACTGACTTCTGCAATGCAAAAACTTGTCCAGTGGACGATACCACATGAGCGAAATCTGACAAAATCAGTGCGATTTCTGACGAAAACGCATCCAAAGGACGGCCGGCCTAAAGCTTGTGGACAGTCCAGTCTGCTGTGACTGATGTGACTCGGCGGATGAAACTCTCTGTATATCCTGGGATCCAGAATTTGCACGTAGTAGAATGACGCTCCTGGGAAGACTCTATTTGGAACCCAAGGAGCTGAGAGAAGTGTGGGCAAGAAAGCTTTTGGACTTTGATAAAAGAACAAAACTACTTGCTGAACTTGCTAATTCTAAGTAGTGGGATGCACAATAAGCCTAATAAGGCCGCGGTGTCATGGGACTTATCAGAACCAACCACTAGAGAAAAAAGAAGCTGTCTACGCACCAGCCATACAAAATATTAAATGTATTATCTTCATATATGTAATGTGTTGCATAATGTATAAAATATGTGTTAATTGCGCACTTCCAACTATATGGCCAATTTCTAGAACTAAAAAGTTAGTGCATGTCGAGAGCTAGAGTTGGATGTACGCTCAAAATTACAGTCCACTACGATTAAAATAAAATCTATAAAATCAATCAAAATTTCTCAATTCACCATACCATAAGCTTGGTCCATCGACCCGATGCTAATGAAAACTAACAATTAAAATTACAAGTCAAGTAAACCCTACAGTGGCAAGGAACCGGCATTTTGAGTCCAGACAGGAATCGGAGGTTCTACAATCAGCCAGCACAGGGTCATCCTATTTACGTATCACAAGTAAGTCCTTCTATATCTATCTGTGTCTATACAGTCGAAAATTACTATTCAATTACAATTCATGTTACAATAAAACAAAATGGAGTCTAGAATCGAATTAACTTCATTAAAAGTAAAACGCGGACAATTAAAGTCACAAATTACAAGATTAAAAAGCTATTTTCAATCATTAGATCATGACGATATTACT